ACTCCCTATGGGATTCAACCCTAACTCATTTAGTTGGGTTATATACTAACAAATGATCATTGACTATTAGAACTTGATTAAGTGTCTTTGATAGCATTATTCAATCACCGAACAATTTCAGTATATCTATTTAGCTAAGAATGATGCACCAACAAGAGTAGAGACTAAGAGGGGTTCTAATAAGATTTTGCAACTGAGTTTTGATGAGTCCACAAGTTGGACTCATTCACGACTTTATTTTAACAGAATTAGTGTCCTCCAATGCATGTTATGTGTCAATGAATAATGTAAAGCCTTGAATTGTAGGTATTTGGAATTAGGAATGATGCATGGACACTATTAATAAAAAAGGGAACAAAGTAAGCTAAAGGAATGAAGAAATGAAGACCTGATGACCGCTGATGTCATTCGGCGAATTGCCAAATCGCCAAGATACCATCCAAAGTTACAGAATGCTGGAGCTAAAATGGGGGTGAATTTGGTGAGCAAACACTATATTCGGCATATTGCCGATCTAGTCGGTGAAGGTTAATCAAGTCGCCAAATATGCTGAAGAAGATTCAAGCAAGTGCTGATGGGCAAGATGGAAGGACAAAAGGCGAATCGCGTAGTCATTCAGCGATCCTGATCTGTATTGGCTAAAATTATAGTAGCAAAACCAAGAAAAAGTGAAAAAATGAAGGTGAGATGAAGAATAATCGGCGAATCATCTATTTATCGGCAACACCCGAATTACCTCGCCGAGTGGTGATAAGCAGTTACACTTCAAAGTTGCGTAAATTAGTTTTGGCTAGGGAGAGAAAGGTATTGAAAAACGTGAGGAAGAAATTACTTAGAGAGAGAATACTACCAAAGTATTTTCCTAGTGATTTTAGCAAGTTTTTCTTAGAGATTTTGTAATAGATTTTAGTTGATTTCCTGAGATAATTCTTATTTGTACCCAACTATGGGAGTGATAATTGATTTTGATTTTCTTATTTTTGAGATGAGGGGCTAAAACCCTTCACTTGGTGTTTTTATCATGAAGCCAACTGTTGAGTCTTACTTAGTGGGTGTTCCTTAATTGCAAATAATGGTGTTACTTTGAATTGTGTCTAAGTTGTTGCTGTGTTTCGAAGTTGAATTGCATAATTTCGTGTAACAATTTCAGTGTTGTGCATTTGCTTGGGTGACAGGTGTAGAACCAAAGTGGCAATCTTCGCGTCCTTCGTAGTGGTTTCCTTGGTTTCAGCTCGAGAAAGTGTAAACAAGTGATCCAACCTTTGTATCCTGCTCGAGAGAGTGGATTTGATGAGGGCAAAGAGCTGGGCTTCTTTCAATTGGTGTTGAAGTTCGAGAGACTTTAACATAGGGAAGGTAATTGTTCGAGAGAATGTTACTTTATATATGGTTCGACCTACCCACAACAAATTACCCCATTATGAGCATTAACATTTATCCATTTCATTGAGATTCAATAATTGGCTGATCAATTCCCCAAGCTTTACTCTACTATTTGATTGTTTGTCTTGAAATGTAAATTTGGATTGATAGTTAAAACCCAAAATTTGAGATTTGGACATTAATTGTGCAAGAACTGTTTGATTGGAGAGGTTGTCATTTTACTTTTCTTATTAAATTTGAAGGAAATACTACTCCCTGTGGGATCGACCCCAACTCACTAGTTGGGTTTATATTACTATTCAACAATTATGGACGCTTAGTATTGGATGAAGTGTTTGGAGACCTCAATCAAAATGGCATCGCTGCCGAGGAGTAGCATTACTTAAAGTTCTTTGATTGAAGAGTTGACACTCTCAAATTTATTTGCTGTAGTTGATTTAGCTTGGCTGCTTTGTGTAAGTGTTGGTTGGACTACGTAGAAGTGAACATGAGTGAGGAAGAGATGGATGATAGCCATTTAGGTGATCGATATGGTATAGATGACATCAATAGTGTCTACAACCCAGCTCAATCGGGTGGAATGGGTGCCATTTGCATCCCACAAACTTATGAGAATGAGATGTTTGAAGTCACTAGCACAACTCTTCATCTACTCCAAATGAGGGGACTATATGGAGGGCTAGATCACGAAGATCCGCATGAAAATGTGACAAACATTACAGAGGTTTGTAGCCCTATTTTCTTTCAAAAATGTGTCACAAGAGTCAATTCGGCTGCGGTTATTTCCACTGTCCTTAATGGGCGAAGCTACTGAGTGGTTAGCCGAGTTACCAAAAAATCCCATCATATCATGGGAGGAGCTGGTTATACCATTTAACACAAGGTTCTTTCCTCCATCAAGAATGATGAAACTTAGAGATGAAATTCAAAATTTCCAGCGACAGGAAGGGGAACCCATCCATGAAACGTGGGTGATATTCAATTAGCTCCTACTTAAAGTCCCAACTCATGGGCTACCAAACGATTTGTTACTTCAATATGTTTACCGATGTTTTGATTTGGTTAATAAAGGAGTGGCTGATCAATTGGTACGAGGAGGAATAATGTTACAATCATTTGTAGTAGCTTTGTTTCTTCTTGATGATATGACTAGAATAAACCAAGCGTGGTACACCCAAGAGGATCAAACCTCCCCATTTTGTTTTAGATTAACGCAAGAGCAACTTGATAAAGAGAGAGAGATGAAAACATCAAGAAGATATTGACCCAAATGGAATTTCTACAAAAACACATGAAGGGGACATGTGGAGTGTTTAGAGTTGAGGAGGGTTCTTCTTCCACTTACTGAAGGTCGGGGGAGAATTAAGGTTGGAACTCCAAGAGATATGAAGAGGGTTTCCACCCACGCTATCTACAGGGAGGTGGAAATCAAGGTTGGAACTATCATAAAAGAGAAGAACAAAGGAGATACTATCAAGATTGGGCTGAGAAAAATGATTATTGGAGAAGAGAAGATGATCCTGAGGAGAACCATACCCACTCAAGTGAAAGCCTAAAGTCAAAGGGGAGTGCAAGCAGTCCCCGGGTGAATGACTTGTTGTCACGCATACTTGATAAAGTTGAAGGTTCGGATGTTTTGTTGAAAGGGATGAAAGATGACTTTTCATCATTGAACAGTAAATTGAGCTCTCATGCCGATGCCATCAAGACACTTGAAGGACAACTGAGTTTATTATCAGCTCAGTTAAAACCAAAGATAACGATGGTAGATGACGATAGAGGGATGGCTGTGGTTACTCATAGAGGAAAGGTGGAAATAGGTAATGTGATGGGAAATGAAGATGCTCAAAATCATGAAGAAGGTAAAGGAATGGAGGAACAAAAGTTACTTATTCATCAAAACCTTGGCAAAGAACCACAAAAGGAAGTGGAACAACACGTTCAAATTCCAAAAGTCATGCAACCTTTACCCAAAATACATCCACCATTTCCCCAACGCTTAAAGAAGAAGAATGAAGATGAGAAGTTCAAGAAGTTCTTGTCAGTGTTCAAGACACTATCAATCAACCTCCCCCTTGTAGATGCATTGTTAGAAATGTCGGGGTACGCCAAGTTCATGAACGAGTTGGTCACAAAGAAGAGGTGTTTGGATTTTGAGATATTGAAGTTTGCCATAGTTGCAGTGCTATTATGACTAAGGAGCTGATCAAAAGGAGAGAATATCCCGGGGCATTCACTATTCCGTGCACCATATGCATGCTCCAATTTGCTAAAGCTTTATATAACCTAGGAACAAGCATCAACTTAATGCCCTATCCGATATACAAATAACATGGGTTGGGTGAACCGAAAGCAACCACAATGAGACTCTTAATGGCAGACCGTTTAATCAAAAATCACATGGGGATACTTTATGATCTCTTAGTGAAGGTCGATTGGCTTATTTTTCTAACTGATTTTGTTATTTTAGATTATGAAATAGATGTTGAAATTCCCATTATTTTTGGAAGGCCATTCTTAGCAAACGGGAGAGCATATTATCGATGAGGCGGTAGCTAGTGTAAGCCATTTCATGTGTATAAATGAACCCCTTGAAGTCGTAGTTGCTAATTATGATGAATCCTAAATTCAGGGCTATGAGGAGGTAGTAGCTGCTTTGACAAGTTTACGAGGGTATTCAAAGACTCCAATTAAGTTGGATATTGACCTAAAAAATAGAGAGAGTCCTCCCGCAAAACCATCAACAGAAGAACCACCTAATCTGGAATTGAAAACACTTCGTTCTCATCTCCGATATGCTTTCTTGGGGGTAAATAACACTTTACCGGTGATCATTGCAGCTGACTTGCTTGAATGACATGAGAAATTACTCCTTGAAGTGTTGCGAAAACATATAAATGCTATAGGATGGACCATCGCTGATATAGTGGGCATCCCTCCCGGTATTTGTACTTACAAAATCCAGCTTGATAATGAGTGTAAGCCTAGTGTTGAGCATTAGTGGAGATTGAACCCACCAATGCAAGAAGTGGTAAAAAAGGAGATCATCAAGTGGTTGGACGAATGTGTGATCTACCCTATTGCAGATAGCAAATGGGTAAGTCCGGTGCAATGTGTACCGAAAAAGGGAGGTATCACCGTAGTCCCAAATGAAAAGGGGTAGCTTGTGCCGACTAGACCGGTGACCGGGTGGAGAGTATGCATGGATTATCGAAAGCTAAATTCATGGACTGAAAAGGATCACTTTCCTATGATTTTCATGGCTGAAATGCTTAACCAGCTATCAGAGAGGGGTTGGTACTGCTTTTTATATGGGTATTACGGTTACAACCAAATCTTCATCGCACCGGAAGACCAAGAGAAAGCTACATTCACATGCCCCTATGGGACGTTTTCCTTTAAAAGGATGTCCTTCGGGTTATGGAATGCTCCGACAACCTTCCAACATTGCATGCAATTGATTTTTGGTGACATGGTAGAAGATTTAATGGAGGTATTTATGGATGACTTCTCAGTTGTGGGTGATACCTTTGAGATGTGCTTAGAACACTTAGGACAAGTTCTCCGATGATGTGTGGGGACGAACTTGGTCATCAACCGGAAAAAAGTGACACTTTATGGTTAAAAAAGGAATAGTACTTGGTCACAAAGTGTCGCAAAAGGGGCTGGAGGTTGATAGAGCAAAGGTTGAAGTTATTAAGAAAATGCCACCACCAATTTCGTTAAAGGGGGTTCGTAGTTTCTTAGAACATGCCAGTTTCTACCGGAGGTTCATCAAAGACTTCTCAAAGATTGCACATCCTTTATGCAAACTCTTAGAGAAAGAGGTGAAATTCCAATTCGATGATGCTTGTATAGTGGCTTTCTGGTGCTTGAAGGAAAAATTAGTATCGACCCCGGTCATTATCAGTCCTCATTGGTTAGAATCTTTCGAAGTAATGTGTGATGCAAGTGGAACGACATTGGGTGTTGTGCTAGGGGAGAAACACAATAAACTTTTTCACCCAATTTATTACGCAAACAAGACTCTAAATAGTGCTCAGCGTAATTATACCGTGACTGAACAAGAGTTGCTTGTGGTAGTCTATGCATTTGAGAAATTCCAGGCGTACTTGTTAGGCAGTAAAGTAATTTTTCACACTGATCATGGTGCACTACGTTACCTAATTGCAAAGAAGGATGAAAAACCAAGGTTGATAAGGTGGGTGCTCCTATTGCTAGAATTTGACTTTGAGGTCAAAGATAGAAGAGGTTGCGAAAATCAGGTGGCTAACCACTTATCTAGGTTAGAGGGAAAGGAGAATGATGTGCCTCAGGTTGACCTAGATGATTTATTCCTTGATGAACGAGTGTCTGCAATACCTCTCAAACAAACTCCTTGGTATGCAGATTTTTCCAATTACATAGTGTGCGGATTGATGCCGGATGAGCCGAACTTCTACCAACAAAAGAGGTTCATGTTTGACATTAAAAAGTGCTTTTGGATGAACCATACTTGTTTCGGGGGTGTGAGGATCATATCATCAGGCGGTGTGTTCCGAAAGAAGAGGCGGTGGAAATTCTCCATGCTTGTCATGCTTCACTGGTTGGGGGCCGTCATAGTGGTGTGCATACATCCGCTAAAGTTCTCCAAAGTGGATACTACTGGCCATCCCTCTACAAAGATGCGCATGAATTTTTCAAGAAATGCGCCCATTGTTAGAAGCAAAGTGGAGTATCTAAAAGACACGAGTTACCCCTTACTCTCATTTTGGAAGTCGAGCTATTTCATGTTTGGGTAATCGATTTCATCGGCCCATTTTTGAGTTCCTTTTGTAATAAGTATATCTTGGTGGTAGTAGATTATGTTTCTAAATGGGTAGAAGCTGTTGCACTTCCAAACAATGAAGGGAGAAGTGTGGTTCAATTTCTGAAACACTACATCTTTGCTAGATTCGGTACTCCTCGATCTATTATCAGTGATGGTGGTTCCCACTTTTGCAACAAATGGTTCTCAACTGCATTGAGTAAGTATGGGGTGAAACACAAATTACCGACTCCATTTTATCCCCAAACAAATGGTCAAGTTGAAGTATCAAACTAAGAGATCAAGAGCGTCTTGGCTAAGACAGTTGTCACGACCCGGGAGTATCCCCAAGCCGTAACATGCGTATTCAACCTCTCGGAGGTCTCATACAAGCCCTTAGCATTCATCACATTAGATATGTAAAATAGTGCGGAATTAAAAACTCTTTAAATAAAATCCCATAAGACTCAAAGGTCACTTTTAAAAACATCATTCAAAAGTACACAAGCGGAATACTAAGTCTCTTAGCCATCTTAGACATAAACGTGAAAACATACTAGGGACACGGCCCTTTACAATCAAAAGAAGTCTATTAAGTCTATTACAAGAATCTTATCATAAAACTAGAATAGAAAAGTCTTGCCCTCGATATATGAGGACATACCACAAAATCTAGGAAGAACTTCAAATCCCAAGTTTACTACAAAACCCGCTCACTTGCCGGAACCTACACTTGTAGAAAATAGAGAAAATATGGAATTAGCACAATTAAGTACTAAGTATGATGACCATGCAAAAACATGCTAAAAAAGGACATTTATTTGAAATATGTGCTTTCATACCATTTTTGATAAAACCTTCATATCACAATTATAAGAGACACATTTCAAGTCATCATCCACATATAAGACAATACCCACATAATAGACATACTCAACTAGTACCAATGTACAATACATGAATATAATTGACAAGTAAGCCTTTTCATCATTTCATGACCTCTATCTCAAGTTACCCAAAGCCACACTTATGTGAAACATAAAGTGACCGCCCATACAATCTCTTTATATACACCTAAGTGTTCCTAAGGGTTACCATAGATAAGGAATGTACCATTACAATATAACATACTAAATCAATGTTCACATATAAAACCATAGCCAACCGTATACATACTCAACATATATTCATATACAACTCATGCTTAACTTTAAAGGAACACAAGCCATTTCATTACCATAGGACCTCTACCTAATATAACCTTAAGACACACTTGAGTACGACAAGAAGTGACCGCCCATACAACCTCTTCAAGCACACTTAAGTGTTTCTCAAGATTACCTTAGATAAGGACATTTCCTTTACAACATAACATCAATAGACCAACATTCTTTAAGAAACCATTTTTGGAGACATTCAAGAACATAAGGGGACTTTCACATAATAGTCGTTAGACTTAGGGAACTCACTTTAGTATCTTCAAAGTCTACTCGTGCCATGTGTAGATAACATCCCATACTACTACCTACACGTTGTAGAACCTATCCAATAACTAGAGTGCGCATCCCACATGATGGGAATAGGCATAACCGACATAGACCATACTAGCTAGGCATGGAATCCGGAGTCTACCCTACTCTGTGGAAGGTGTTCTACTTGCCAAAGGTAGAACTAATAATCAACCCATGTAGGCACATGGTTTAGGGGATGTCCAAGGATGTTCATTGTGCCCTAGTCTCATACTCAAGTAGGGCCACCATCCTAACCACATCCACTCGGTGCTAGCCTTGTTTCCCATAGAGTATTTTCATTCACATATGTACTAGAGAGGGTTCCTTTTCTAGTTCAACCAACTTATAGTATATCTTCCCAAGAAAGGCCCCATTTCTTAGTTATGGCCAATCAAGGTTCATAAGGATAGCTCATTTGACTTTCTTAGATAGGGATTTTCATGCCGTTCCGGCTCCATCCATCTCTAAGTCTATCATCTCACTCAAGAAGGGAACTTCGCCCTAAGGCCCATCCTTCAAGGTTATACATTTACTTAGGAAAGCTAGACTTATGAAAAGGCACCATTTCTTAGTTTTGCCGATTCAAGTCTTGGCCTAGAATTCCTCTTTTAGCATTTATAGAAAGGGCACCATTTCTTAGTTCTAGCCCACTTCACACATTCATGCATTCAAGACTTTAAGTAACAAGGAGGGACACTTTAGTCTACCAACCAAGTCACAACATTATCATCTAAGGATACTTCATAATCCAACATCATTTCATATATATACATCATGAGAAAATCATACTTTAAATCACAATGCTATCCACTTTACATAGGATCATCACAAGATCACGTAAACTCATTCACATCATACCTTCACACATAAAGCTTCACATAAAACTTTACATATAGCTTCATATAGGACTTTACATATAGCCTCATTTATATATATAATATACAATACAATAACACTTTGTACAAGATCACCTTATAACCATAAGAATACCTTCACATAGTACAATAACATTTCATAACTTGATAACACTTTAATTCAATAGATAATGCCTTCAAGTCCATGTTCATAATACATTCCATAATTAAACACCTCCACCATAAGTGGATCAAACTAAGCAAGAACAATTTTATCCATAATAAGAGATTAAGCCAACTTGCCATCCTCTAAAGCCATAATCATCAACACTCAAGTCCCAACCATTTTACTTACCACAAGAGAATTCTTCCATAACTTGCCCATAAGGCCACAATCCTCAATTCATCCATATACCAACAATTCATCATAAATAGGTATAGAAAACCATATAAATCAACAATACAATCCAATCTAAACACAATTTCATCAACATTAAATCATAGGCATTAAACCCACTTCATTAGCAAATTTAGGAATTTAAGGAAAACATGGGTTCTTCAAGGAATTCCATATGAAATCATCTTAAAAACATTAATCAAACATTAATTCATCAATATAATGGCTTAGAAAATGTTTTGCCAATGAACCCATGCTTAGATTAGAATTTGAGATTTTGTTCTTTGAAACACTTTTGATTGGACTCCTTGAAAGAAAGATTGATCAAGGATCAAGGGTCACCATACCTCTAAGTTGAAGCCCACGAAAAATTGAAGAAGAAAGCACTCAAAACCTTCAACCCTAGCTCCAACTTCACCTTGGCCTTCAATGGTGTTCCAAAGAGAACCCTTCCTTACTCTTTTAAAATGGAATAAAATGATCCACAATCAGCGTAACACAATAATATAACCTCAAAAGAAAAGATTTGTGAAAAGACCAAAATGCCCTTAAATTTCCGGACGGATTTCTTGCCAACTGCCCAACTTTCAAAGGGCATAACTCACTCATACGAACTCGGAATTGAGCAAACTCGGTGGCGTTAGAAAGATCGTTCCAAGGGATTTCCAAACATAACTGGAACTACTCCTGGATCATCCTGAGCTAGGAGTTATGACTGCTCAAAGTTGGCCAAAAACTCACTGATTTCCACACTTGGCCGAATTTCCAGATTTTGAACTTAGCCAATTTCCAGATTCTGCACTTTTTTCCAAAAGTGACTACTTCCAATTTATGCTTAAACTTTAAAAATTCATACGTTAGGCTCTAGTTTCACCTATCTATTTTTAGGGTCGCTACAACAGTGAATGCTAATAGGACTGATTGGTCTCGAAAGCGTGATGACGCACAATAGGCATACCGCACCGCTTACAAAACTCCAATCGGTATGTCTCCATATCAGTTCATTTTTAGGAAGTCTTTCCATCTACCAGTAGAGTTAGAACACAAAGCGATGTGGGCATTGAAAGCTCTGAATTTGGACTGGACAAAAACCTCAAAAGAGAGAGTAGAGTAGTTAAATGAGTTGGATGAATTTAGGTTTAAAGCTTATGAAATTTAAGCTCTCTACAAGGAAAAGATGAAGATGTGGCACGATGCAAAGATACTTAAGAGAGAGTTCATGGTAGGAGATTGGGTGCTACTATACAACTCCTGACTTAGACTTTTTCCCAGAAAACTCAAGTCCAAATAGTTAGGACCATTTAGAGTGATAAAAGTATTCACCAATGATTCCATAGAAGTTGAGGGTCAAGAGGGACTTGCATTTAAGGTGAATGGGAAACGTTTGAAATTATACTTTGCAGAATGCCAACAATTTTTTTTGATTGAGGTGGTGTACCTGGAAGATCCTTGAGAGCATTTCAACGTCGTGCCACAACATTAAATAAGGCACTCCTTGGGAGGCATCCCAAGTGTTAGTGTTTTAAATAATGTTTGTTGATTTTGCAGGAGTGGGATCATGAGCGAGACAAAGACGCTCTTGGCGAGTCACCGAACCAGTTCGGCGATCATGATTTGGTTTGCCTTATGGATCTAAAAAATGAGGCTGAGACTTTGGAACATTCGGCGAGACACCTTCACCAGTCAGCGTATCGCCGATGTGTTTAGGCGATTCGACTCTCATTGCCCTTTCTAGTCAACATTGACAACGCCTCTCAAGGATCGATTGGCGATGTTCTGAGTTCAGTATGCGGATCGCTGATCTGTTCGGCGACCCCCCATATCTTCGCCGATATGCCTTCTCTAGGGCTGTTCTTTTGCAAAATTTGTGTATCGGTTTTGATCAATACCAATGACTTGAATAATGCTTATAATCTAACAAACATGAATGTGCTGCTACAATGATGCCAAATGAAGTTGCATAGTCAATATGTGAACTCTTTGCATCTCGTTGTGACTAGCCAAGTACCACATTGAGTCTGTTGTGATGAGCATTGCACACTAGCGAAAGTGTGGAGTCTTATTTTGAAATTGGTGTCGATGCCTTGTGTGATGAGCTTATTGTGAACCATGTTTGATGACACCTAGGGTTTGCCCTATTAGTTTGGTTAATTGAGTGAGGCAATTCCTTGAGATGATCTTAGGCAGCTTTAAAGAGTGTGAACCATTTTGACATTATACCTCATTTTGTGGCCTACCTTGTGAGTGTGTGAACTCCTCTTGAACACCCCTTGAGCCTTAACCTTTTCTTGGAAGAAACTTGATGAAAATATAACCTTTCTTGATCCATTACCCATAATCCTCATGATTTGTTACCGATTTGAATAGCCAACTTAGGGCAAAAGCCTAAGTTGGGGGTGTGGTGAAAAGAAAAGGCAAATCAAGAAAATGCAAAGAAGTCTCTTTTGCCCATGTTTTGAGAAAAATGGAACCTCTCCATATATATATAAATAAAAAAAGAATAAAAAAGAAAAAGAAAGAAAAAGTTCTGAAAATACAAGGAAAATGGGTTTTCCAACGGTCCATGGAAGATGAATAAGAGGTGACTTTTGAGCTTGAATGAAAATGATGAAGAAAAGGAAAGAATGTGTCGTTGACATCACATTTCATGAGGATTACAACTTATGAGCCTAAATGACCATACCTTTGCACTAAGCCCCATTACAAGCCTTGAAAATACCTTTTTAATCTTGGATGACCTGAAGCAAAAGTCTATGGGAAAATAAGGGCAAACCTATGGGTGAGAGTCATACATTGTGTTCATCTTTGTGAGTGTGAGCGTTGCGTGTTAGATTCCGTAAATTTAAATTGTTGAACCATTGTGTGTTAATATGGAATCATTCATTGTGTGAGGGCATTTAATCACCTTTGTTGAGCTTGAACTTGCATTCGAAGCAAGTATTGTGAGCTTGAGATTTGTTGATATTGGTGAGTCACAACTTGTCTTTGAGTGCAAGATTGATCCTTGCATGAGAAAGTTGAGTCTTGTTGAGTGCATTCATTACTGAATCTTGTGGAGCACTATTTGAGACATCCTTTTGAACTGCTGAACTTGAGTTTTACTTGAGGACAAGCAAAAGTGCAAGTTTGGGGTGTTGATGAGTCCACAATTTGTACTCATTTACGAGTATATTTTAACAAAATTAGTGTCCTCGAATACATGTTTTGTGACAATGAATAATGTAAAGCCTTGAATTGTAGGTATTTGGAATTAGGAATGATGCATGGACACTATTGATAAAAAAGGGAACAAAGCAAGCTAAAGGAATAAAGAAATGAAGACCTGATGACTGCTAATGTCATTCGGTGAATCCCCAAATCACCAATGTCATTGAGTGAATCACCAAATTGCCAAGATAACCGCCTAAAGTTACAGAATGCCAAGGTAAAATGGGGGTGAATTCGGCGATCAACAACTATATTCGGCGTATAGCCGATCTAGTCGGTGAAGGACAACCAGGTCGCCAAAAGTGCTAAGGAAGATTCAGGCAAGTGCTGATGGGCGAGATGGAAGGACAAAGGGCGAATCGCAGAGTCATTCGGCGATCCCAACCTGGATCACCTAAAGTTACAGTAGCCAGACCAAGAAAAAGAGAAAAAATGAAGGTCAGGTGAAGAACAATTGGTGAATCGCCGATCTGTTGGCGACACCCAACTTACCTCGTCGAGTGGTCATATGCAGTGACACTTCAGACTTGTTTAAATTAGTTTTGGCTAGAGAGAGAAAGATATTGAGAAATGTGAGGAAGAAATTACTTAGAAAGAAAACACTTCCAAAGGTTTTTCCTAGTGATTTTAGCAAGATTTTCTTAAAGATTTTGTAATAGAGAAGATTTTTAGTCGATTTACTGAGATAATTCTCATTTGTACCCAACTATGAGTGTGATAATTAATTTTGATTGTCTTATTTTTTAGATGAGTGGCTAAAACCCTTCACTTGGGGTTTTGATCATGAAGCCAATTGTTGAGTCTTACTCAGTGGGTGTTCCTTAATAGCAAATAATGGTGTTAGTTTGAAGTGGGCCTAAGTTGTTGTTGTGTTTTAAAGCTGAATTACATGATTTCATGCAACAATTTCAGTGTTGTGAACTTGTTTGGGAGAGAGGTGTAGAACCGAAGTGGCAATCTTAGCGTCCTTAGTAGTGGGTTTCCTTGGTTTCAGCTCGAGAGAGTGAAAACAAGTGATCCAACCTTTTTATCCAGCTCGAGAGAGTGGATTTGATGAGGGCAAAGAGCTGGGCTTCTTTCGATTGGTGTTGAAGTTCGAGAGAATTCAACATAGCAAAGGTAATTGTTCGAGAGAAAGTTACTTTATATATGATTCGACCTACCCATAACAAATTAGCCCATTATGAGCATTAACGTTTATCCATTTCGTTGAGATTTAATAATTGGCTGATCAATTCCCCAAGCTTTATTCTACTATTTGATTGTTTGGGTTGACCTTTAAATTTGGAATGATAGTAAAAGCGTGAAATTTGAGATTTTAACATTAATTGTGCAAGAACAGTTTGATTGGAGAGGTTGTCATTTTACTTTTATTGTTGAATTTGAAGGAAATACTACTCCCTGTGGGATCAACCCCAACTCACTAGTTGGGTTATATTACTATTGGATGATCGTGGATGCTTAGTAATGGATGAAGCGTTCGGATACGTCCATGAAGATTGAATTTCATTGCAACATAAGTAGTCAAGAAAAAAATGTCGCTCCTAGATCTAATAATGCACAAAATTAAAATTGAAAGACATGCAACATACAAGTGACTAAATCACGGGAAAACTCTTAATCATACCTAGTCAAAAGAGCAGAAAACCTATTTTGATGTTGTTCACCACTAGTGTTAGATGAGGTACCCTACTATAGCTTCTGAAGTGTTAGGATGACTCTGGTGATGACCATCCCTACCCTTGCCTGTGACCAATGAGCAATCCCTAAATATGTGACCTGTCTTACCACATCCAAAACACCAACTAGTGTTATATATAGACTCTCTTTGATAGTTTTTATCACACTTATGGCAAGTGGGGAAAATGTGTCCGCTAGTAATAATGCCATGCGACATAGAGCCTAGCTTTCTCTCCATGTTAAACTTATGCACCTGTGAACTTGAAAAATAGAGGGTTGGAATTGAGTGCTTTTGATGAAACTAAGATTGGCTACCACCTCCCAATTTCTTATGAGTGTAGTCTACGTTATATGTTCTACCCCTCTAGTTGTCCCTAGAACTTTCCTTGAGCTTTTCCTCCTCAATATATTCAGCATGAATCATCAGCCTAAAGATATACATCTCTTTAATCAACATCGCAGTCCTAAACTCCTTCACAACCATCTCATAAAAATCAGAGACAAACTTACACATGAAGTCCCTAGAGTCCGCCACCATAGTCGGAGCATAATTAGAATGTTGAATAAACTTCAAAGAATTCTACTACACTATTAAATTACCATACCTCATAGTTATGAAATCTTGGACCTTAGCCTCTATCATCTCAAGGAGATAGAACCTGTCTAGAAAATCACCCTTAAACATTTGCCAATCCAATGGGCCTTCATCTACAACCTTTTATTTCTTCAACTGCTAAGACAAAATCTTATCAACTCCCTTGTACTGGTAAGCAGCCAAATCTGCACTATCCATAGTAGTGACACCCATAATCACAGTGATCTTCTGAATACCCTCAACGAACTCTTTTGGATCCTTATCCACCTTAGAAACATAGAATTTTTTAGGGTTCATCTCAAAGAAGTAAAAAAGTTTAATTACATCCATACCCACATTCAGGTTAACCGGAGCCACAACAACTTTGTTGGAATGAGCAATCTTAACTTGAACCAACAATAGGAAAGCATCCCTAACCACCACATGAATGGCCTTTTCAGCCAAAGGGTCTGCTCGAGTTTGATATTTAGATGCTTATTGATCCTCATTCCCGTTTCTCTTAATATAGGTTCTTCTAGGAAACATGATGTTATAAACATGTAAATCATGAGTTATAAGGATACTTTATAGAGTTCCATACTATTTAACGACTAAGACTATAGAAAAAATGAAGTATTTCCTAAAATGTCTCAAAGTCTCCTATATATAAATGTGGCATGCTTCACACCCATGAATACGAATATACTTAATGAAGCTTTCAAACTCCCTAACACACTTGACCTCACACTGTGATACCACATTTTTCACACCACAAAAGTACCCATATATGTGCACGGAGCTTGGAGGGACAAGTGACCCCTATACTTACTCTTTTAAATGTCAAAATTTTCTATTGATATATAATATTTTATTTTTGGTCTACTACATTGTGTATATGCATGTTAAGTTTCTTTTGTAGGGCCTCTCAGGTTGTTAGGCACCATGTCACATCTAGGGTATGCTTTGGGTCGTGATAGCTTGTTTCCTATTTATGTTATATATGCTTGTCAATTGCTTCGTTATTATTGCATGTATGATATATGATTAGGGAAAAAGGAAAAGGCATGATTTGAAATGTTTACTATTGTTCATCGTGTGAAACAAATGTGTTTACCTGGTGTACAAGGGCGATTCTATTCCTTGTGAAGTGCGTTAGATGAGTGCATCAGGTACCACATTAGTACTTATTTTTCTATGGAGATGAGAAACCATGATTGTACATATTTCCTAGTGGATTGGGTACCAC